CCCAAAAATAAAAAGTTTCCCATTGCGCACAAAGGCGGCGCGGGGCATTGTCCGGGCCCTGCATCGCATTACCCGGCGCTCTCCCGGAGAAATCACTTGTATTTCACGCTCCATTGAGCAGCTGCCTGTATATATTTTCTGTGTTGCACTTTTAGCATGACAAAAGGAGAGGGCCTGTGAACTCCTTGCTCTTCAGACCTCTCCGACACGTCCCCCCGAGCGGAGCCCCCCTCGGTTAGCATAACAAACTGCCACGCTCCCTCCGACGTGCTCCGGGGCTCCCTCCCGGCCCCTTTTTTATTTTTTTTTGGTTTTTTCTTTTTTTTCCCCTCCTTGCTAATTTAATGTATAGCTCAATATTTGGGCGTCTGGGTCGCCGCCGCGCGTGCTGGGCGATTTGGGAGCCCGGGGGTTTTCCGGGATGTCCTTCCCATGGATCCCTGGAGGAGCTTGTCCCGGCTCCACGACGCCCCACGCGGGGTTTTAAGCGGTCCCCGGTGGGGTCTCAGAGCCCTCCCTGGGGAGGGGACGGAGCCAGACTCGGCTCCGGGCTCCGGTGTCACCGTCAGAGTCACCAAACCCTGCGGTGGATCCCGGGCACCGTCCCCGGCTGCTGCGGGAGCTGCAGGTCTCCAGCTCCTGCTTTCGCCTTGAAATCCGAGTTAAAGGCAGGAAAACGGGAGCTGTGGGGCTGGAGTGAGCCTCGGGACCGGCAGCACCAGCGTGGTTGAACTGGTTGAACTGGGAGCTGGTGGTGCTGACGGGGTGTTTGTCCCTCAAGGTGGGGTCACAGCCCGTCCCCAGGTCCGGGATGGAAAGGAGTAGGAGGGAGCAAGGCTGAGGTGACACTCGTGCCCACAGTGCCCCAGCCCGAAGCTGGGCTGCTCCTGCCTCCCCCCAGCCCAAAAGGGACAGGGCATTGTCCCCTCTGGGGCTGGGACACCCTCGGGACACCCCTCAGCTCCCACCGTGGGGAAGGAGAGGGCTGGGAGGGGAAAGCTCAACCTGTGGGGAAGGAAACACACCCCGGGCATGGAGGCTCGCAGGGATTTGGGGGTCCTGCAGGAAAAAAGGGGCAAAATTCTGCTCAGACACCAGGCTGGGACACAACCAGGGGCTTTCAACACCTTTAATGCACTGGAATTTTCCCCCTTTCCCTCGCTGACTGCAGACCATCCTCCCGCTGCCCTGGGCTGGCA